CAGGCTTGATCCCTAGTAGGGGATGTGCAGGAGGCAGCCAATCAATGATTCTCTCTCATCGTTGATGTTTCTATCTCTCTTTACCCCTCCCTTCCTCTCTGAAATCATAAAAATAAATAAATAAATAAATAAATAAATAAATAAATAAAATTGAAATCCACCTCCTTCCTGCCCTAGAACTTGCTTTCCACTTCTCCTGCTTTACTTGTTATTTTTCGATAGCATTTATCATTTTCTAACATGTTAATTAACGTTGTTTACTGTGTTTATTATTGATGTTCTCTTTCCCATCTAGAATGTAAGTTCCATGAGGGGCGGGACCTTTGTTTTGCTCACTGATACATTCCAAACACCTAGAACAGTACCTTCTGTATACTGTACAGTGAGTGCTAGAGAAATATTTAAGAACGAAGGCAGGTGACTCACACCTGGTCACACCACAAGCCCGGGGCAGAACCAGGACCGGATAGCAGGTCTCCTGCGGCTCACCTCCCAAACTCCGTCCTGTCCCCTTTCTTCATCCCACCCCACAAATGTTCCCCAACACCGGCTTCAGCCAGACCTGATACTGGGCAACAGACTGGACAAGACCTGCCCTCAAGGCCACCCAGACCCATCTAGCCCGGCGCATGCAGAAACCACCCAGAAGAGGAAGCAGGTCAGTGGTTGTCAGTCAGTCAGGGCTGGGGTGGGGTGAGAAGCCAGGTTGACTACAACGTTGTACCAGGACAATTCTTGGTGTGACGGAGCTGTTTGTTTCCTGCCCTAGCCTGGCGGTATGCACTTGTGGACAGTCAGAGAATTTTCATACTCTCACTGTTGACTCCGCTTGCAGTCCTGAGGCACTGAGCACAGAGCACAGAGGCTGAGCTGGCAGCCAGGACGCCCACACCAGTCCTCCTACACTGGGGCCGCTCATTCCCCTGCCCAGAGCCTTCTCTGCGCCTGGGACCCAGGGCCCTGCTTGCTCTCCCTCCCAGGTCTCTGTTCCTTAGGCCAGTGGTCGGCAAACTCATTAGTCAACAGGCCAAATATCAACAGTACAACGATTGAAATTTCTTTTGAGAGCCAAATTTTTTAAACTTATATATAGTAGGTAGGTACATTGTTATTAACTTAATTAGGGTACTCCTAAGCTGGCCTTTGCTAAAAACGTCCTCAATCTGAGGGGTCCGTACCCCCACTTCTTCTAACGCCACTTCTTCAAAATAGACTCGCCCAGGCTGAAAACCGACTTCTGTGCATGGGCCACGAAGTTTCAAGCGCCCACACGTGGTATTTTGTGGAAGAGCCACACTCAAGGGGCCAAAGAGCCGCATGTGGCTCGCGAGCCTTGGTTTGCCGACCACTGTACTTAGGCCACCGGGGTGCCTTCTTAGACACTCCCCGACTGCAGGCTCGCCACCTCCCAGCCCCGCCCTCTCTGGCCCAATTCAGAAGGGTCGCCCCTGCCCCCACACTGGACCAGGTTCTGCTCTCGGGACAGCTCAGAGCCGGCCTCCAGCCCCCAGCCCCTAGCGCCTCTGGGGGCCGAGTCTGTGGGGCGGCCCCTCCCTCCGCCCTCCTGCGGGACCCCGCCCCCAGCCCCAGCCCGACGGCGGCACCCACCGAAGTAGAAGCCCTCGTGCTGGTACTTGGGGTTGAAGAAGACCCCCTTGGCGTGGGCATTGACGTCGGCGCCGGCCCCGATGAGCAGCGCTGTGATGTCTCGCTGCCGCCGCTCGATGGCGATATTCAGCGCCGTCTGCCCTGCGGACAAGGTGGGGTGGGGGGCGGGGGGCGCTCAGCGGCTGAGACCCTGGTGACACCCTGCCTGGCCTCTTTCCCACCCTCCACGGAATTACGGCGAAGTAAGCCTCCTGTCTGGTCTTGGTGTCGCCAGCTGCGGGCACAGTGCCCGCGGGATGCAGTTTTGCTTCTCGTTCCGCAGCAGCACAGTCTCGCTACCACACAGGAGGGGGCGCTCCAGGACCAGGGCAGGGGCTCTGCATCCAGTCCCCGCGCTGAGGGCCTTCCCAGAGTGGCCTGGAGGCCCATCGGGTAAGTTTAACGAGGCTGGTGGGGCCAGCTCAAGGCCCGCTAAGCCAGGTGAACCTTAGAACCTGAGCCTAAGGGCCAGGGGAGTCAGCAGGTGTTGAAGCAGGGAAGTGACATGACCCGAGTTTGGGGTTTAGGACGAGTGCATTTTTAGACCACTCTGGCTGCAAAATTGGAGGAGGTCTTAACAAGATCCCAGACTTATGTGGAACTCTGCTCGGTGGAGCGAAGAACCCTAGGAGAAAGAGCCCTCAGGTGGTCTGTGGGGCTTGGGGAAGAAGGCGTGTCTCAGGTTAGGGGCTTGGGGAAGAAGGCGTGTCTCAGGTTAGGTCCGGTGAGCCTAAGGGCCAGGGGAGTCAGCAGGTGTTGAAGCCCGGAAGTGACATGACCCGAGTTTGGGGTTTAGGGCGTGTGCATTTTTTCTGGCTGCAAAATTGGAGGAGGCCTTAACTAGATCCCAGACTTATGTGGAACTCTGCTCGGTGGAGCGAAGAACCCTAGGAGAAAGAGCCCTCAGGTGGTCTGTGGGGCTTGGGGAAGAAGGCGTGTCTGGCCTGGGAGCTGGGTGACTGGTGCTGGTGACTGAGGAACGGAACAGGAGTCAGGAGCAGGGAGGTGGAGAAGGGACATTAACCCTGTTGGTAGAGCCTTCAGAACCCTCCCGTGTGTGTGTGTGTGTGTGTGTGTGTGTGTGTGTGTGTGTGTGTGTGTGTGGGGGGGGGGGGGGGGTTTTTGTTGGGGGGGGGGGGCTGTATTTCAGAATGTCCCACCAGAAACAGTATTTCCCAAAGAGCTGCTGTCTTGCCATACATAAAAATAAATTCCTGGTGGGTTAAAGAACTAAGCTTTTTTTTTTTAATTGGAAAATTTGTTTACAACTAACCTTTTGGTACAGAAAACCTTCTTAAGCAAGATCCAAAATGCAGAAACCATAAATAAAAAACTGACATGTTTGCTTACATAAAAATTAAATATTTCTGTATTTTGAAAGACCTCTTAAAGAAAGTTGAAAGGCAATTGGTAGGCCAGGGAAAATATTTGAGACATATAAAAGAGACCATGTATTTTTTTAAAGTCCATAATAAGAGCTCTGCAAATCAATAAAAAGACAAACAACCTAAAAGGAAACAAGAAAAGAATATTAAGAACCCCTCAGAGAAGAAAATACACATCGGCAATAAAGAAACTGAAAGATATTCAGAATCCCTGGTAATCAGGAAAATGAAAATTTGAACCTAATGAATTACATTTGAACCTAATGAGTTAAAGACTTAAAAAGATTAAGAACCCCTCAGAGAAGAAAATACACATCGGCAAAAAAGAAACTGAAAGATATTCAGAATCACTGGTAATCAGGAAAATGAAAATTTGAACCTAATGAGTTAAAGACTTAAAAAAAAAAAAAGGATTAGTGAAGAGTATGGAGAAGGAGAACCTTTGTGTTCTTTTGTGAGGGGAGAGTAAAGCAATACTTTTTGGTGGCAAATTTGTCAAGCATTCTAATTTTTTTAATTTTTTTTTTAGAGAGAGAGGAAGGGAGAGGGAGAGAGAGATAGAAACATCAGTGTGAGAGCAAAACATAGATTGGCTGCCTCCTGCACGCCCTTTACCAGGGATCGAGCCCGAAACTCAAGCATGTGCCCTGACTAGAAATCAAACCAGCAACCTTTCAGTGCACAGGATGACACCCAATCAATTGAGCCACACTGGCCAGGGCAGTAACCATTCTAATTTTAATGTGCATGCCTCTGGGCCCAGAAAGGCCAATTCAAAGTCTTTCCCTAAAACTCGTGTTCACTGTGCACAAGGTCATAGACAAGAGCGTGCATCGAGACGTTCTCATAACAAAATATTGGAAACCACCTGGATGTCTGTCCACGGGAAAATGGTGAAATTAGCCACAGTACAGTTATACTCAGACTAAGCAGGCAAAGAGGAGGCAGACTTTAATATTCTGGCATGAGAAGGTGTCAAAGATGTATAGTTAACCCCCATAAAAGTAAGTTGTAGAACAGTACAACTTATTTATCACTGCTCTGCATTAAATAAGTAGATAAATGAATAAATAGTTATCTATTTGTATGTGCACATACACACATATGTCAAAAACCTAGGAACGTTCTCAAAGCATACACCCATACTAATCATCTCTGGAGAGGAGAGTGAGAAACAAGCAAAGCGTTCCTCTTTAACTTAATTAAAATATTCGAATGTTTTACAATGAAATTCTATTCACGTACTATTTATGTAATTAAAAATAAATTGCTATGCTGAATCTCACTGATGAATATCTAGAGGTTCATTATGCTAATATTTCAAAAGTATGCTTAAATTTTTCAATAAAAAATTTAATTAAATCATTTTTTAAAAAGTAAGTCCCTGAAGGCCTCTGATAAAATGCTAAAAATAATATTTTAAAAGATGTCATTGTATCCTCTTAGCAGTATAGAGAGGAAATATCAGCCTCTGCCAGATGGGGAAACTGAGGCCCAGAAAGGCCAGCTGATGCCCAAGGTAAGGAAAAGTGCTACTCTTGCGGTCCCTGCTGCAAGAAGTGCCTAGAACAGGGGAGGGAAGGTATCAGCAGCTACCATCAGGAGGAAGAGTAGGGGAGAGGCTTGTGTCTGGGAAGACAGGGATAAATGGTTCTTCCCACCATGCAGAGAAAGACTGGGTGCCCACAGCCCCCCACCAACCCACCAGCAAGACATAGATTCATGACAGAAGGAAAGGACAAGGGGAGGCTGAGAAAGGAGAGAGGCAGGATTTGCAGCCAGGACTGCAAAGCCTTAATAGAGACACTAATCTTCATGTAGTCACTCATTCATAACGTATTTATTAAGGACCTCTTATGTGAGACCCCAAGGGTATCAGAGGATCCACTATGGGGAAAACAAAGTCCATCCCTGCCCTCAAGGAGAACATGCTGCCAGAAATAGGAGTCTGTAAGTCCCTACAAGACTGACAAGAAGAAAAGAGGGCCTGAAAAGGGAGACGATTCAGGACAGAGAAGCTTGAGGCACTGGCCTAACCCTCCTTGGCTACAGGGCTAGTATCAACTCCCTAGTGACAGGCTGAAGCATATATAGCTCATTCCCTTTCTCTCTTTGCTGTGGCTACCAGGGAACTCAATGTGCAGTTCTGCACTCAGTTGCAACAATATTCCCTGACTTTCCTCTCTTCCAAATTGATAGCTTTTAGTTTTTCATAATCCTTGACTTCTTTTATATAACAAAAACTCACGAAACTCTGCAGAGTTTAAATGAATAAATAAAAATAAAATGACTTTATCCCATGAGAAAAGGTAAGGGCCCAACCTAGACTCCCACCTGCAAAAAGCTGAGACGTTTCGTGCCCCTGGCATATCAGTAACGCAGCATCCGTAATCCTTGAGCCCAACATTTTTGCCACAAGCATCTCATTAGATCCTAACGGGATGTTTACGGACTCCAAAGATTCAAATGAGGATCCACCTTACTGATTTTTCACAACATATTTTCTGGGCAGGGAAACACTACCCAGGGGGTCTCCTTGCTCCTCCCTGGTCCATCTGAGAGAAACCACAAAATTGAGACCCAGCTGGGGCAGTTGATAATAATGACAGTGATGACACTAATAGTTGCCATGTGTTGGCCCCGCCCAGTTCTCTAACCTCATCTCCAGCTTTCTTTCTTCATCATTCAAATGTACCTAGTTCCTTCCTATCTCAAGTGCCCTTGCCTTGTTCTGGATCCTTCTCATCAGACAGACTTCAGGTCAAAGGTCACCTCTCTGACCATCCACCCTAAAGTTGCCCATCCCCAGTTACTTTCGGTCACATTAACTTCTTTCATTTTATTTTCAAAGCATTTTCTATATAAAATTACCTTCTGTAGAGCCATGGCCTTCATCTGTCATGTTCGCCACTGCACCCCGGTGCCAAAAACAATGCCTGGCATGTGGTCGGTGCTCAAAATTATTTGCCGAATGAAGGAAGGAAGAGAGTGCCGAGTGCCACGCCATGTGCTTTGGGCTTTCAATGATCTGTGTGGCCTGGCCGTCACCCACTGTCTGCACACCCCTCCCCCAGGCAGGTACCTTCGTAGGCCTCCTCGGTATACTCGGCGTTGATGAACCTGTCCAGAATGTCGTTCTCATCGGCAAAGGCGAGCAGGATCCGCACGATCTCCTTGGTGTTGGGGTTGATGTTCAGCAAGGCCTTCATCAGGCAGGTCTTCCCTGTGTCTGAGGCCGTCAGCTTGTGCATGAGGAAGTCTGCAGGCAAGATCACAGGGTGGAGCTGCAGGAGGGGCCCAGAGGAGGGGAGCCCAAGGTGTGGGAGCTGCAGCCTCAGACCTCAAGACCTTGTGCATGGCCCCTGCTGGCCTCCTGGAGCCTACACACCCCACTCTCCAGCTCCTTTGCTGGCTCCTCCTTCCCAGAGGCCCAGGAGAGCCTCATCTTTCACTCTTTGGCTTCTTCACCCTCTCCCTGGCAGGAGGCAATCTTACCAGTACCCATGGCTTCCCACTGTCTAGAAGTAGACAAACATCCTGAAGTCTCCAGCCTGCCCCTCCTGGTAGCCTACAAATAGAGCTCAACAACTCGCCCTAAACTGCTACTCCCTTAGTCCCCTAGACAGCTTGGGCTCCACCATCCACCAAGTCACCAATGGCACCACCCGACTCCTTCCTCTCCCTCACTGCCCACGTCCTTGAGTCCTGCCAGCGTCGCTGCCTGAATGCTGTTCCCTCCCTCAGCCCTCTGCTGGGATCCTAACTCCACCTGGACAGCAGCCTCCTTCAGCTTCACCCCCATCCTCCAGGCAGTAGCCAGACCATGACCCTCACCTGTCTAAGCCCCTCCATGGCTCCCCATTGCCCTCAGAGTCAGGTTCAAAGTCCCTAACCCAGCACTCAAGGCTCCTCACACGCCAGCCCCACGGGTCGGTGGGAGGGAAGGTGGACAGCAGGAGCCAAGCAGGGGCCCCAGCCCCTCACCCTCTGCCAGGGCCTGGCACTGACCGGGCACGTCCAGGTTGCGGCGCCTCTTGCAAAGCTCCTGCAGCTCCACCAGTAGCTGCACCAGGTCCTCCACGCAGCCCTCGGACACAGCCGCAAATAGGCACTTCTTCAGCCGCTTCTTTTTCCGCCTCTGCTCTTCTTTGGCCAGGTTTGCACTGAAGCCAGAAAAGGTTTCCAACTCACCACATGTGCACCCCCACCCCTACCCTCTCCTCGTTTCCCACCAGAGCTGCCGTGCCTACACCCCCAACTGCACCCCCAACATCTCCGCGTGCCTGTCACAGTGCCTAGTAACCCCTCCATTCGCACTCCAGGCCCCTGGGATCCAAGGCATCCTACGCAGTCTCCCCTTCTAATCCAAATGCAACCACATTTATCAAAATGTGTATTTGGATACACATAGTAATGAATAGGAAGGTACCTGTAACTACCTTGAAAGTATGGGATTAGGGGAAGGAAAATTTCATTTTCATATTTTGTGTTGTTTGAATGTTTTTATCTACCCCTCCCCGCCCCCACACTCCAAATAGGCAACCATGGTAACACATTGATGTGTATCCTTTGTGTGTGTGTGTTCTATGTACACTTGTTTGGTGTTTCACCACCTCCTCCAGGCAATAGGCAGACCATGCATTTTAAATTTGCATACATAGTATTGCATGATGGTCCCATTGTGCTGCCTACTGTAATGGATGGGTATTATTTTTACAGCTTATCAAGTGTAACACTCCCCTCCCCCAATAAATTTCCTACACATCACAGGCATGGGCCCAGACGTTTGTCCCAGGCCCCAAGAATGGCGGCTTCTTTCTCTTCCTTCAGGGTTCCAGTGCCTGTCCTCCCGGCATCTGCCTGGTGGGCACTGGGAGGAGGGGAAGGGCAGGCTCACCTGGGACTGTTGGGATTGGATGGCGTCTCTGTCGCATCATCCTGAGGAGATTGCGGGGAGTCCATGTCATCACAGTTGCCAGAGAGGCTGGAGGGGAGAGGGAAGAGAAGGAAAGGGGGTGACTTTAAAAATAAACCATGTTAGCACGCCACAACCAGGCCCGGCCATTGGCCCAGGGCCAGTCACTGCCATCCTCTGGAGCTGAGGGCCAGCCGGGGCAGGGGGCTGGGCAGCGGGTGGTACTCACCACTGCCGGATGTTGGAATCCATCGGCTTGGAGAAGATGGGGGGAGAGGTCTTGGCGACTGTGGGGTTGGGCTCAAACCCTTCAATCTCCAGGAAGAAGTGCGCGCTAGGGGGACAACCAAGCAAGGCCATTAGAGCGGGGGCGGGGCCTTTCTCCCTGCGGGGTCCTGCCACCCTGCTGCCAAGGGTGCCGCCCACTCCACCAGCTCCATGCTGGACTCCCGGCCGCGTGGTCTTGCTTAACCCTCACAGCAGCCCTGAGAGGTGGGTATTGTCCTCTCACCCGCATTTCATAGGTGGGCATGTGGGGGCTCTGACGTCACACAGCTGGTAGGTGGCAGAGCCTGGATTCAAAGCTGCTCTGGGTGACTTCTCACTAGAAACACTGGCTGGATGAATCCAGTGGTCTCTGCTGGGGTGACCTGCCACCTAAGGGGGGTTTCCAGCCCCCATTGCCCCTCCCACCTCAGGCCTGAAGCTGAACCTTCCGGAGAAGTCCCAAGACCCTGAGATGTACAGGGGCCTTTCTTGGAGTTACACTGGCTGCTCAGGTACAGTCCCCACCCCACACTCCACCCCCTTCTATCATCTCTCATGCTGGGAATCCTTGTCAGGAAGGAAAACTCAGGAAAGCACTTTGGAAGTGCCCCCATTGCCCCTCCCACCTCAGGCCTGAAGCTGAACCTTCCGGAGAAGTCCCAAGACCCTGAGATGTACAGGGGCCTTTCTTGGAGTTACACTGGCTGCTCAGGTACAGTCCCCACCCCACACTCCACCCCCTTCTATCATCTCTCATGCTGGGAATCCTTGTCAGGAAGGAAAACTCAGGAAAGCACTTTGGAAGTGGAGGTGAGGAGCAGTGGAGGGTGAGGGAGGGGCCCGCCTTCAGACACACCCACAAATGCAGACACGTGTGCTCTCAGAACCCCCAATCACACACTCAGAGACACGCCTTCTTATGACAACCAGGATGGTGAGGATCAGGCTGAGGATGACCTCGGTGGCAGCAACACCCCCACCCATGGCCGCTGCAGTGTAAGTGCTGGCTGTGCCCTGGCTCGGTGCCCTGGCCTGGACTGGGCCTCCTGACCAGGTGGCCTCTCTCCTAAGCATCTTTGCTGCCTGCCTCCCTCCCAGGCCTAGAGGATCAATACCCAAGACCACAGAAGAGCTCCCAAAGTACAGCCCCAGTCATATCAAGTTCAAGGGAGGAGAGCAGAGGAGGGATGGTGGCCCCATTCTACAGAAGGGGGAACCAAGGCCCAGCATGGAGAAGCCACTCATCCACAGTCACCCCTGAGCATAAAAGCCAAGTTAGTCAGAGAACCTGACTCCTCACGTCCAGCCTCGGGCTCATGCCACTCTCCATGCTGCTCTGCTCTCCCCTCAGCCCTCCGGGTCTGCTTCCCACCAAACCAGCTCCAGGAATTAGCTGCAGAGGGAGGCCACCCAACACAGCTACCCCTGGGGTGGGGCAGGCAGGAGGGAGACCCAGGCCTAGCCTGGGGAATCCCTCTCCTCTCCTCTCCTCTCCTCTCCTCTCCTCTCCTTGCATCTCCTCTCTTCCAGCCACAGACAAGCCTGGAAGGCTCAACTAATCCAGAAATGGGCATAAGTGTGGTGGGGGCAGTGTTGGCTGATACATTGGCCCTCACCTTCCTGTCTCCTGCACACCAAGAGGAACCTTCTGGCCTGACCTAAAATCAGATCCTCTTCCAAAAGAGAAGACAAAGGAAGGAGTAAACCCCTGGCTGGGATCCTAAGGCCTGAGTTCTATGCTGGCTCTGCCTCTGCCTCTGCCTCTGCCTCTGCCTCTGCCTCCTATGTGACCCCAGGTGGTCTCTTGCCATCACAGGGCCAAGTGTCCTCACCTGGGTAGAGAATGGCCGGGTCAGATAACCCCCAGGGCTTGGATTCTGGAGCAGGGGAGCGCTGGGGTAATCACTTATGGACTGTCCAGGTGAAATGGGCATCAGAGGTCATCGAGTCCAAGCACCATTCCCCTGCCCCCTGCAGTGCCCCCATAATAGCCACCCCAAAGCTATCCCTGCCTGTCTGGGCTCCTCAGCAGTACATTTACTCAACAAATATTTGTTGAGCACCTACAATGTGCCAGGCACATTGTTCTAGGAACTGGGGATATAGTAGTGAACACTTGTGCAAAATCTCTCTCATCACAGAGTTACTGTTCTAGTGGGTTGGCCAAAACTGGCCCCAATGATCAGACCAGGGCACAGCACAATGAGGCCATTGCTTTTCTTTTCTTTTTTAATTGACTTTTAGAAAGGAGGGGAGAGGGATAAAGAGATAGAAACAACAATTGGCTGCCTCCTGCAAGCCTCCCACCAGGGATCAGGCCCCCAACCCAGGCATGTGCCCTGACTGGGAATCAAAGTGGCGACCTCTTGGTTCATGGGTCAACGCTTAACCACTGGGCAACACCAGCAGTCATTGTTTTTCTTGCTCTAAATAATGTACTGTCCTTCAGCTACAAGTTTCTCAATGCAGAAACTACAGTTGTTTTATCCTTGATTCACCAGAACCCAAAACTGGTCCTGACACTCAGAAAAAACTAACTGGATGAACAGGGAGATGGATAGGCAATGAGTGAAAGATAAATGAATGAAAAGAAGAATGGCCGGTGGGATACATGGACAGATGAGTGGATGGATGAATAGATGGATAGATGATGAATTCATGAATGGATGAAAGGGAAGGAAGGAAGGAAGGAAGGAAGGAAGGAAGGAAGGAAGGAAGGAAGGGAGGGAGGGAAGGAAGGAAGGAAGGAAGGAAGGAAGGAAGGAAGGAAGGAAGGAAGGAAGGAAGGAAGGAAGGAAGGAAGGAAGGATCAAAGGAAGGAAGGAAGAGAGGGAGGGATGAAGGGATGGAGGGAGGGAGGGAGAGAGAGAGGGAGGGAGGAAGGAAGGAAGGAAGGAAGGAAGGAAGGAAGGAAGGAAGGAAGGGTGGCTGAGGTGCATAAATATGTGAATAGATAGACTGGTGAACTGGACCAATAAGCAAACAGCCCAACACAACCTTACCCTGCAAATGCTGTTTGGAGGTTGCATCCCTCAAGTGACTCCCCCTGGGCTCTCAGTTGCCCGAAGTCCTCACCTCTCATTCTCAGTTTTACACAAGAAGTTGGAGAGAGGTCCTTTGGCTCTCTTCCACTCCTCCTCCTTCTCAGGGCCTCCTCCCAGAGCCCACAGGGGTCTTAAGAATGGTCCAGAAAACCAAATCATGAAAGTATCTATCCACTCCAGGCCTGGAGACTGAGGGCCCGAGGGCAGGGAAGAAGTGTGTCCTCATCTCACCGTGAGGTGTTCTCACTGATGCTGAGGGACTGTGCTGAGCCAACAGGCTGCTTACTCATCAACCCACCCACCCCTCTCGTTGTCTTGCCTGCTCCTTCACTGACTCACCCACTTACTCCATAACTATGAGTATGTTCTGCATAGGAAACCTTGGGGCAGGAAGGGAAGAGATGACCTCTCGAGAGGCCCTGACCTCAGAGATCTCAACCAGAGCTAAGACATTGTCCTAATAACTAACTGTGCTACCTGTTCAGAGAGACTATAGGAACTCAGGAGAGAAGGTCCTCTCAGTTGAGGACAGGGATGGGGAAGGTTCTGTGATCTGTTGGGTGAGATTTGGGCAGGATCTTGAAATAGACCTGTGGTTTGGGAAAAACCCTGGAAGCAGAAAGAGCAACAGGAGAGAAACACCTGGAAGGGAGGTAGGGGCTGTGTCTGAGAAAGGAAGTCTTTGGGGGCTTGGAAGGAGAGTGGTAAGAGCCAGGATCTAACTCCTGGGGCCGGGAGCTGCTGGACCATGAAGGCCTGTCCCAGGCCTATCCTACTTGCCACCGCACATGCCATCTCTCACCCTCCATCATGAGCAGATGGCAAGGTCTTGTGACATCCTGGCTCCTGACCGGCAGCAGGTGCTGCTTGCTTATTTCTACCTTTGGCCCAGACCAAAGGGCACCACCTGGATGTTAACACAGGTGAGCAGACAGCTCTGCATTATTTCTCCTGCATTTCTGTCTCTTTGAAGGCAAAGAGCTGCTCCCTCAAGCAGCCCCTGGGCTAGGGAGGAGCCTGTCTCCCTGCTTTGTCCCAATAAATGCCCAAGCTCTGAGTGCCAGGAGGCCAACTCCTCCACAGCCTTTATCAGCCTCATCGCTGTCCCTGGGCATCACCTTGCCCGGTAAGATGGTCACCGTGCCAGCTACTCACAGGAGTGGCATGCTGGTTCCGGAAAAAATCTCTCCCCGATCTAGATTTCTTGCCTTCAATTCCACCACTTAGTTCATATTTCCTTAATGGTCACAATTGCCATCTTTATTTACATATAATTTTTCTTTTCTTTTTCTTTCTAGACCTGAGGAGCTCTATCCTCAGTTCTGAGGGAGATGCCCACATTTTCAGGGTCTTGGGAGAAGCAGGCACACATAAAAAAAGGCCTTCCAGAAGGAGAAGGGGCCACCACGTCCTGAGAAAAAGGTCACATCCCACACCCAGGGCCTTGGCTGATTAAGGCCATAGGCAGAGCGGAGCCTAGAGTTAAGTTCACGAACAGGCATGGGCTCGAAATCACAGCTTGACTGCTGGAAGAACCTGGGATTTTCCTGAAAACCTGTCCTCAATCCTCTGAGACTCAAGCCTCCTCTGGGAACATGAGAGGAAGGGGGAGGGGAAGAGAGGCAGGAGGGTGGTGGTTGGGGGCTTGCCTCAAGGATCTCTCTGCTCTTACTCAGACAAGCCCACCGAGATCCAAGCCGCCCCATGGTCCTACTGAGACCTGTCTGATCTCCACGTCTGATCTCCGAATTTTCTCTCCTGTGCTCCGGGATGGAGCTTCCATCTGGATGTCCCATGGGCACCTCTCAGCCAACATTTCACACCTGAACTTGGCTTATTCCTCCTGACCTTGCTCCTTCTCCTCTGACATGCCCATGTCAGAGGTGGTCCCATCATCCCTCCAGGTCCCCCCATCAGAAGAAGGGGATGTCTTTTGTTCCTCATTCTCCCTCCCCTTCCATAGTTGATCCTGTGGACCCCATGATCATAATACCTCTCTGATCGGTCCCCTTTTCTCTACCCCTAACCACCCAGGCTCAGACCTCACCACCTGGACTTCCCAACAGTCTCTCCTCCAATCCGTCATCCATGCAGATCACCCAGAGTATCCTTTCCAAAATGCAAATTCGCCATGCCCCTCCTTTCACACCAAACCCTCTGTGGCTCCCCACTTAGTTTTGTCCACTCTCCTTAACCGACCACCAAGGCCCAGCCCCAATGGAACTCATCTCCTCAAACTCCCCCACCCATCCAGCGCTTCAACCACATGGGTCCCCTCACTGGTCCCTGCCCCAGACCTGATACATAGAAGACCTCAGTGATTATTACTCAAGCCAACATAAGGGAACGCACCAAGCTCACCTCTGGCCAAGAGTGGGCCTGGGACAGGGGCAGAGGAGGCAAGGCAAATGGGCCAGCCTAGAACAGTGGGCCCACCCCAGGGCCAGGGGAAGCACAGCTGGGGTGGAGGAGGGGCATTCAGGCTTAAGGGGCAACAAATAGGCCAAGGGGGTGGGGGGACAACAGTGGAGGCAGCTCAGGGGCCAGGTATGACCCTGGAGAAGTGCTTTCCCTGCTCCATGTTCCCAACTGGGAAGTGATCAAAACATCCTAGCCCTGCCCCGTTCCCAAGGGCCCTGTGGAGTGTTGATGACAATGAAGCTCAAGGTTACAAAAATACTATCAATGCCAACATGTGCTGGACACTGACTGCGGGTCAGGCACCGGGCTGAGTACTTGGATGGCACGATCCCAATTAACCATCGTCCTATGAGTTGGTGCCATTGCTGGTGTCCCCATTACACAGGTGACGTTAGGGTGAGTGACCTGGCTGGGCACACAGTGGATGTGCATGAAAATAGTACCCAGTGTGGGGTCCCGACCACCTGTAATGTCACCCACCTTTTGCTCCTTGTCTCCAGATGGCTCCAGCAATCCCTTACCTTCCCCAGGAGTCTTCCTATAGGTTCCTGCCCCAGTGCCCCTGACACCCCCCTGATGATTCCAGTCACACTGACCTCCCTGGCTCGGCCCCCTGAGTCTATGATATGGTTTCCCCGCCCACCCGGTTATACTTAGTTGGGCACCAGGCCACCACAGATGAGGCTGAACCTTTCTGGTTCGGCCCAGGCAAGGGCTCCCTGAGAGTGAGCACCAGGACTCCCGCACAGCACCCAGGCCCAAGCCTGCCCGTCCTACCTCTTCTTAGTGGGGGTGATCTCCGCTGGCCGCTTCTCCTGTAGGACGACTTGGTTCCCACTGGTGACGGTGGCTTTTCTGCCCATGAGGGGCACCATCTCCTTGGGGTGGGCATTCATGGCTAGAACACAATCACAGCACAGATGTTCAGGTTGACTCAGGGACATGGAGGAACTTCGGGAGCTTCAGACCCCCTGGGGCCCCTGCTTATACCCCTAGGATGGGGAGCTCACTCTCTCCCTTCCCAGGCCACCAACCCCTCTCAGAGGCAGGGAGACTGTCCCTGAAGCTGCCCCTGCCTCCTGCTCCCTGCTCCCTGCTCCCTGCTCCAGCACCCCTGCTCATGTCCAGCCCCACCAATCTCCAGGTGGGTTGTTGAGAATAAGCTCTGCTTTCTCTTGTTTGTTTGTTTGTTTGTTTGTTCATCCTCACCCGAAGATGTTTTTCCATTGATTTTTTTAGACAGAGTGGAAGGGAGGGGAGGAGAGGAGAGAGAGAGAGAGAAACATCGATGTGAGAGACACATCGACTGGTTGCCTCCAGCTCGTGCTCCGACCGAGGCTGGGGATCAAATCTGCAACTCAGGTACATTCCCTTGACAGGAAATTGAACCAGAGACCCTTTGGTCTGCAGGCCAATGCACTAACCACTGAGAAACACCAGCCAGGCCAAATGCTGTTTTCTCAATGCTCATCTCGGATTTTGTGTTCAGAGCTCTTCATGACAGAACAGGACTTGTTACCTCCTTTGCTCTAGACCAGCGGTTCTCAACCTGTGGGTCGCGACCCCTTTGGGGGTCGAACAATCCTTTCACAGGGGTCGCCTAAGACCATTGGAAAACACATATAAAATTACATATTGTTTTGTGATTAATCACTATGCTTTAATTATGTTCAATTTGTAACAATGAAATTGGGGGTCACCACAACATGAGGAACTGTATTAAAGGGTCACGGCATTAGGAAGGTTGAGAACCGCTGCTCTAGACACTATGCTCCTAATGACACAGCTTCAGCCCCTCTGGTTTCTGGATTTCTCAGCACCTGGTGGTCTCTGTAGCTAACACACTGACCAGCTCTCTCTTGCCCACACAAAGCACAGTGCAACCAGCCTTGTGTCTGTCTGTTCGCGTGGAGGGAGCAACTGAGGAGGCAGCCTCTCCGTCCAGACCTGCTTTATTGATAGTCAGTGTGGCTGGATTGCGTGCTGGTGGGAGGAAGATGCTGGAAAGAGGGACCGATGCATCTTCTAAGGAGACTGGAGGAAGGACAATGCCAAGACCAGGGGTCAAAAAGTTGAGCGAGTGGTAAGGAGCTGGTGTGGTTGTTCATGGGGAGCCCCGATAGCAAGAGGCTTGGGAGCAGGATGGGTCAAGTTGTGAGGACCGGGACGCCAGTCAGGTGCTGTGGCAGAGCCCTAGGGCAGCGGGGGACATGGGAAGGCCCCGAGTTACATAGGAGACAGCCACCTTGGAGAGAGCAGGCTGCGTGTGGGATGGGGAGACCAGAGGCGGGGGCCAGGGGAGGCTGCTGTGGGGGCCATCAGGATGGGAATGGTGGGCTGGCCATGGGAAAGGGTTGTGTGGACAGGAGGTGACTCTGTAGTTAACGGGGGCCATTCTCAGCTCGAGCAGCACTGAGGGAACTCCCTCGGAGTCAGGGAGGTGGGGTTGAGGGACAGTTTTCTGTAAGAGCCCCGTTGGGCGGAGTGGAACTGGGGCCACTGGTGATCCTGCCCCAAAGAAGAGAGCTTCCTGGAGGAGGTGTCTGGAGCAGGCTGTCATCAGACTGGAGTGCGGTTTACAAATGTCACAGCCCCTACACACACACTAAAGGTGAGCAACCTGGGGAGAGGAGGAGTCGTTCACAGATGCCTTTGGCCCGAGTATGGGCACCTCAGGGCAGGGAGCTCGGAGGAAGCACCTCAAGGCCAACCAGGTGCAGCAGCCCATTGAGAGACCATTGTAAACGGCCAGATGCATGGAAGTGAAGGCCAAGAGTAAAGAAGAGGGATGAAAGGCCTGTTTCTCACGCCTCCTTGAGCCTCTGTTTTCTACTCTGAGAAATGGGCTGAGTGGTCCCCAAGGGCCCTGTATCTCTCTGCATGCAGCCGCCTGCTCCATCCTCTCTGCCCTGGGCCCGCCCATGGGTGTGGGCAGCACTGGGCAGCTGGGCAAAGTGGCTCAGGAAAGCTCGGACTGGGACATCGGCAGCTGTAATTAGCTCCCTGAGTCACCCGGGAGGCCCTGCGTTCTCACCAGCCAGACTCTCTCGATGCCGCAGCATCCCTCTCTCTGGATCAGGCTTCCACCTGGGAGGTAGGAGGTTGTGCCTCCCCAGCCCGGGCACTGTCCACAGGCCCAGGGAGCCCCACGCCTCTGGCCCAGCACCTGTGGAATGAATGCCTGGGCCCTGTCCCTCTCAGCTCAGAGCCGCCTCCCCCATCCTGAAGTCCCATCACTCCTGCCCACAGAGCCGCATCCCTGGGCCTGCTAGAAAGACAGGCGCCTCATCTTGGCCCTGGGAGCTGTGAGCTTCTCCCTCCCCAGATCCCCGGCCCTCGGGGAAAGGCTCCTGGCTCCATCAGACCCTGTGCTCTGGCACACGCCCCAGGGCCAAGAGCTCAGCCCAAATCTGGCTTTGTTTCCCCTGCTAGAGGCTCACACTCCCACCAACACTCGCCTGAGGCCTAGCAACAAAGGGTAGACATGGCCAAGAGGACGCCATAGGTCCCCTCGCTGGGCTCCCCCTGGACTCCCCGGAGCTTTGAAGGGCACTGGCTGCCTGTGTGGCCACTCACCTGGTGAGGTCGGGTGGCGGTGGCTGCCCTTGCTCTGAGATCATCGCATGCCCGGGGCCCAAGGCCCCCCGGTGGGGCACTGGCTGAGGCGGCGGGAGGCTCTCATCACAGGTAGAGAGATTGCTGGAATGAGGCTTCAGAGGCAGAACTGGCTGGGCCACCTGCCCTCGGCGCCAGGCAGGCCACACCCACCAGCCACAGCTGCAGTGCCCACCCGCCCACGTGCCATGCCTGAGTCACCTCCACGCCCACACGGCAGCCTCACCCTGACCCAGGAGAAGGTGAGGAGGCAGCAGGTGTCAAGGCCAAAGTTCTGGTCCCGACTCTTCCCATCAGGAGCCTCCGTTTCCCCATCTGAGAAATAGGAGCCATACTGGCTACTTCCCAAGGATGCTGTGAGGAGTCAGACTCTGCCGGCGGGAGGGCCTAATGCACAGTCAAGTGCTCTGTCCTGGCCCCTCCAGGCAAGGCCACAGCTGAGGGATGGCCTGAGTGACCTCAAGGCGGCCAGCCCCAAGACTTGGTATCAGTCTTTCAAAGTCTGGAACCAGGTCCCCTGAGAGACAGAAGTCCCCATTCAGTGCTCCCACCAGAAGTTATGCACCACAGACCTTGGTGTCAGACAACCTCACCCATTTCTTACTGTGTGACCCAACAAGTCATTCTCACCAGCCTGTTTCCTCGCCTGTGAAATATGCATAATAAACCACCTTCCAAAGTCACTGAGTTCCTGTGGGGATTAAATGGGAGACCACAAAAAACAAGGCCCAGAGAGAACAGAAAGAACTCCATAAATGGTGACAGCTATTAGCCATGATTGGTTTTGTCATGCTGATCCATTCTCCCAGCAACTGCCCTGGACACGGGCCTCCAAGGCCAGAGCATCCGGGAAGCCTCCTGCCCTCCCTGCGCTCTGGCCGCAGCTGTGACGGGGGCGGAGCAAGGCTGGCTGGCCCTGCCTGTCTCCACATCTCTTGGGAGTCACACACCTGTTCCCACAGGCGAGATGGAACTGGGATGGAGCAGGAAGTCTCTGGTGACAGGGATAGCACTGGTGACTGATGCAGCGGGGACTTCCCCTTGATCCCTCATCACCACCACCCTCCAGCCTGGGGAGGGGTAGGAGGCGGGGTCAAGCTTCTGACATGGGACAGCAGGCCCTGTGCCCAGGAAGGAGCAGGAAGCCTGGCTGGGGCCAGCAGGCCTCCGGTGTGCGTGATGTAGGGGCTGCTTTCGTTGTTTAAGTCAAAGGGGGTCTCGGGTTCCCATGCGCACAATTCAAAACTTCATCGCCACCTGGAATTCCACATGAAAGCCCCGTCTTGGACCAAGCCTAGTCCTCCCTCTATTACTCAGTTAATTGCCCCTCCTGACTGAGTCCCTCACCCCTCCTGGCGGCTTCTGTCTGCCTGAGAACCCTGGGGGCAAGGCCGTCACCAAATGTCAGTGTTTATGCTTTGCCTGGTGTCAGCACATTTCTCAAAGGCCAGGCTGGAACTGGTTAAAAAGGCCCCGTCACCCACCCAAAAGGCATGCAGTGTGCTCAGCCAGGAGTGAGGCAAAGGTGGTCTGCTGGGGGCGGGAGCAGGGGCCACATCCCAGCCAGAGACAGAGCCATGCCCCCATGCCCACCTCAAGCACATGGAGCCAGCAGCTCCAGCCCTTGGGCTGTCTACACTCAACCCCATGTAATCCCGCACACGGTGACAGCCCAGGGGGACAGGCAAGGCAGGGAAGCCAGGGGCCAGGGTGGGATTCAGAATTGGAGAAGGTGTTCTCCCTCCAGGAATGTGGAGCCCTCACCCCACCCGGCAGGTTGTAAGGACAAGAGGACTCAGGCACCGAGGAGGAATGAAGTCGCTCTGATGGGGTGGTGGGAGGTGGGTTCAGGAGAGAGGGGGCGTTTGGAAGAGGGGGGTGTGGAAGGAGGGAGGACAGTCTCTACAGGGAGAGCCACAGGAGCAGGGACTCGGAGGCCAGAGACCACAAACGTTTGAGGAGTGGTTGACGAGCTTGGGCGACATTTGAACTCGGTGGGGTGTCAGAGATGCTCTGCCCAGTCCGGCTGCAGCCCACGGAGTGACCCCAGACCACCAGGTCAGCCCTGGCCCCTGTCACAAAGGGCTGTGCTGGCCTCGCCTTACAGGGCACGGGACGCAAGACCCTGCTGGGGATGCTATCACCAACGTGGCCTGGCAGGGAACTGACCAGCCGGGCTGAGCCAGCACCTCATACCAAAGGCAGTGCCTCTGCCCATCTAGACGCCAGCTGCTGCCTGCCCAGTGGGACTCCTGACCTGTGTTAGGGGGACTGTGGAGCTGCGGTCCTGCCTCTTTCTACCGAGCCTGGACCCCCCACAGAAGCGAGTTTTGCCCGCTCTACCTTCACTGTGCCATGTGGGTGCCCTCGAATGCACCTGTGTTAGGGGGACTGTGGAGCTGCGGTCCTGCCTTTCTACCGAGCCTGGACCCCCCGCAGAAGCGAGTTTTGCCTGCTCTGCCTTCACTGTGCCATGTGGGTGCCCTCGAATGGTCATTCACAGCAGCCCAGCACCTGGGAACCAGGGAGCCTTGTGGGGGGCGGGGGAGGAGTAACAAGCTGCCCCCACGACCCAGCTCCTCATTTCTGGGTGCAGCTGTGAGCCACGCTGTGCCTACCCTTCATCAGTGACCTGCGCTCCCTCTCTGAGATACGGTCCCAGGAGGGACCTTTCAAACTGGCTGTGCCCGTGGAGCGAAACATCAGGGAACATGGGGCCAGAGGCCAGGGTGGGAGGCAGGCTGCGAGAGGAAAAGGGCTGCCTCTGCATATTCCTGACCCGGTCCCACTCCCCCCGAACCCGGAGACCTGGATTTCAGGCGGCCCTAGACATCTGCCAGCACACCCCGTGCCCGCCTCCTCCTCTCCAGGCTGAGATCAGAGCGGAAGCCTCAGTGGGTGGGTGTCAGTCAGCTCCACGTCTGTCTGCTGTGGAATTTAAATGCCCACAGACAGATGCCCCTCTCCTCTCCCCACACCTCCTGTCTTGCAGACATCGGGCCCAGGCAGGTCCACAAGATCCCCCCAAAGAGGGAGAAATGAGAGAAGAGGTTTCTGTGGGTGGGTGCAGCCAGGGAGGGCTGACCCCTTGACCCACTCTAGGAAACAGCCCACTTGGTGCCATGAGGAAGGGACCAGGCAGAGCTCCATCAACAGCCTTGGGCCCACTCCCCGGTGGTCAGCAGATGGTCCGTCTGCGTCCTGGCAGCCCCAGCTGTCCTTGGGCTGAGCAGGGCAGCCTCCCTATCTCTGATTCTGGGTTGTGGCTCATCCTGCCTCCACGTGATGGAGGGGGGCACATGGGGACAGAGAGATAAAGAGACAGCGACAGGAACAAACAAAACAGAAATAGACTATAGATACGGAGAACAGCCTGATGGTTGCCAGAGAAGAGGGAGGTTGGAAGATGGGGTGGAAAAGCTGAAGGGGTTGAGAAGTACAGGTTGGTGGTTACAGAATATCATGAGGATGTGAAGTACAGCTTAGGCGTGTCAGCATTTTGAAAAACCCTAACTTAACTCTGGTGCCGTGTCACATATAGAAATTTTTTGATATTTGCAACCATAGTAAAACAAAGACTTATATTTTTGATATTTATTTTACATATTTAAATGCCATTTAACAAAGAAAAATCAACCAAAAAAATGAGTTCACGTGTCACCTCTGACACGTGTGTCATAGGTTCGCCATCACTAGCTTAGGGAATAGGGTCAATGATGTTGTGATAACTATGTATGGGTCCAGGTGGGTCCTGGAAATATGGGGCGAACACTGTAAGTATGTGGTTGTCTAACCATTATGCTATACACCTGAAACTAACAGAAAATAATATTGAATGTAAAGTATAATTGAAAAAAATTTTAATTATAAAAGAGACAGCAACAGATTTTTAAAAAAAAAAATGGCTAGTTGCAGGTGTGTCCTCCGCAAACCGCCCAGCTTCACAGCAAAAGGTTGTGAGCCTTCATTTTACAAAAGAATACCCACAAGGCAGTTCAAAAGTTATCCAATTTGCAAAAATGTGTGGATAGTTCACATCTACACGACATTTTCCGAGGAAGGCCTACAGGTGAAGCAGGGGGTCCCAGGCCCACGACAGGAAGTGAGAAGCCATCACGTGGCTGGCACGCCCCCTCTCCTGCCCTGCCAGGCAGCCCAGCTCCGCAGTTCAGTTCTGGGCTTTGGAGTCAGACTGCCCGGGCTCAGACCCAGGCAATGCTGTTTCCTGGGTGTGTAATTTTACTAACTGTCCCCGCCTCGTTGTTCTCATCTATAAAATGGAGCTAATGATAGCTTTTCATAGGCTGTTAGGAAGCTTGAAGGCTAATGCACTTCGTATAAACACTCACTACGTGCTGGCCACCAGTATCCCTCCTCTACGTCCATTTGCCACGGTCAGGCCACGGCTCACCTCACACCCTGTCAGCAGCCCTCATGCACCTCTGTCGGGCCTCATGTGTGAAGGCAGATATGACGCTGGAGAAAGTGGTAAAGGAATCCCATTGTTTCCTCCAGATACCTCTCTCACAGGAGTGGAAGCCCCAGCCTCAGCTGATGCCAGCCCTGTTTTCATGAACTGATGTCCAACAATTCCATGCCTGGGCAGTTCATCCCACACCCCACAGACATTACTACCACCCCGCCGACGGGGGCAGCTCCTCTGGATCACTGTTTGCTGAGTTCTCTTTCGTAAAAGCAGGAGTCAGCAAACTTCCAGGCAAAGGACCAGAAGGTAAATATTTCAGGTTTTGCAGCCTATTTGGTCTCTGTTGCAACTGCTCCGTCCTGCATTAAAAGCCGCCACCGACAGTATGGAAGTGAATGGCCACGCTGTGTCCCAATAAAAGTTTGTTTACAAAAACGGCTGGCAGGCTGGATTTGGCCCACGGCCCATGGTTTGCTGCGCATGGTAGTTGTATGCATGAAGGCATGCCCTCACCCATTGGTAATAATGAGGTAAACACATGCACACAGAGAACACGCTCATACACATGTGCATGCACGCACATACACACACAAACTGCACAGAGCCGATGACTGGCATGAAGTGCACACTTGATATATGTTTATTGATTTGACGGGTGACAGGAGGGGTGGAGGCGGAAGGACGTACCACTGCAGGAGGCAGGATTAAGATCACTACAAAAGGAAGATCATTAAAAAATTCTTGCCACACGGCGTTAGGACGTGGTTCTTCACTTTCATTTGAACAGCAATAGAGCTAATAGGTTTGGAACTGGGATGTGTCAATGCAAGATGAAGTCACTCTGAAAGAAACCTGATTCTGGCAGAGCTGGGAATGGGACCGGCCTTCCCCACCTTCTGGAGCTTAGAAGTGAGGAAGGTAAAGGTGACGGGGGGGGGGGGGGGGGGGGGGGGGGGGTAGAAAGCACAATGCAGAATCGGCATTTTACACCAAGGGAAGCATTTTGCTCTAAAAGGTGTTTTTCTGGGCTTCATTGACCTTTACTCGCAGTAACACAAGATCAGAGAAGACAGGGCGCCACATATGTCCAAGAGGTTCGTCACGCGTGATGTTTAACAAAGTCAGTAAAACCTTGAAAGCAAGATCCTTTCCTGTTAGGAGATCCACGTGGGGACGGGGAGGGTTGGATGGGTGTCTCTTCCCACGCACCCAGCAGCGCTTCCCCTCAGCTCATCCAGCGCAGCCGAGGAAGGAGCCTGGGCAGGCGCAGAGGAGCCAGGCTGCTGAGAGGGCACAGGAGTCCCCCACACACACCACAGCGACCGTGTGCTATCCTAAGGCCCAGTGTTGAGAGCCTTAGGGGTCCCTCATTTTTCCCCGAAAACAGCAGGATCCTTGAAGACCTCCGCATCTTCTGGCTTGAGGGACCCTGCAAAGTGCCTCAGATGGACCTCCTCGTGCTGAGCAGGCTGCCTTTCTCGAGTGCTTGCATCTCTTAAAAGGGGGACCAGGGCAAAGTTCTTCCAGTGTCTCCCTGAAACTAAAGGGTAAGACATCATTATTGCCTTGGATGCAGCAAAACAATAACAAACCAATGATTACCAATCTCCAGATAAAAGGGGCCCAGGCGTGCCGGTGCCTCCTGAGGCACCCGGATCAGAGCCAGTTCCTCTTGCCTCAGCTGCTCAAGGGGCCTCATCCTCTCTGGCGGCTCCTTAAACTCGCTCCCTCCGCCCCACCCTGACTTGCTTCATGAGCGTCCACTCTCCTTCCTGCCCACGTGGGAGGGAAAGCAGATCTCCACAAAGCAATGCTGGGGTCTGCCCCACGCCTGCTCCACACCAGGTCAGGTATAGGGTGATAAACACCAGCCAAAGAATCAAGGTTTGGTCGAGGCTCCACCTGGCCATGGCAGATTGGGAACAATGCCAAGGGAACCATCGTGACACTGGGCCTCGCACGGGGATCTCACATGTGGCCTGTAATTCCAGGAAGCTCCGGAAGAGAACCCACCCTCATAGCCATCTCCAGCTCCGCCACCTCCAAGAAATGACAGGCAGGAGAGAAAGCTGTGTCTGCACTCCTTCCACCTGCCAGAGCCCTGGTCAGCCAAGCCCTCGGGTGGCCACACCTCCCACCCCCAGACCACGATTCAGGTCCTTCTGCTGGAGTCCAACACTGGCCACATCTCAAAGGCATCAGGAATGCCGGAGGCTGGGCCTTTTGTGACTACTCCAGCTTAATACTTCAGGTCCCACGGGCTGCCACAGGCCTGTCTCTGAACCCCAGTTTGACACTAAGCACCAATCACTGAGAGACAATCCCTTGGGGAACCCAGGGATAGAAGTAAGAGAGCATTATTGGGAGATAGGCCAGATGCTTACTGAGACACCACCTTCTGGCTGACTGGGTGGTAGGGAGACCCTGCCTCAGGGACTGCTTGGCCCAGCTCCAGCTCCAGGGCCCTCAAAGGAGGTATGGGTTTTCCAGTGCCCACTTCCCACAGTCCTGATGCCAAGGCCCCCTCATGTGCTCGCCCTAGCTCAGTTACTAGCTCAGTTCCCTGCCTCTGTAACGAATAGACCAATTAACAATTAAAGACAAGCCTGGCTGGCATAGCTCAATGGTTGAGCATTGACCTATGAACCAGGAGGTCATGGTTCAATCCACAGTCAGGGCATATGCTTGGGTTATGGGGTCAATCCCCAGTGTGGGACATGCAGGAGGCAGCTAATCAATGATTCCCTCTCATCATTGATGTTTCTGTCTCTCTCTCTCCCTCTCCCTTCCTCTCTAAAATCAATAAACTATACTTTTTAAAAAACTCAAGACAAGATCATCAAGTATTATGAAATGGCACAGGGAGTGCTTCCAATGAGACTCATGGGGAAATTACAGGACTGCAGGAGGCCCTTGGGAAAACTGATGAAGCCCTTGAGTAGTTTTCCAAAAATAAAGTCTCTTGATAATATGATTTCCACTTCCAGTTCTGATTGTGTCTAGTTCTGAGCCAGCCATCCTGTTGTAAACAGCCATAAAACTGGACAAAATATATGCAGCAAATGCATGCCTTATGTTTTCAGTCATGCATTGGACAGCAGAAGTGAAAAACTGCAATACTGAGAGAAATGAAATTCACAAGGTGAGCCCCGTGATTACCATGACATTTTGCTTAGGGACAAGTTCTCTGACTGTGGTACAGTGAGTTGGAGTCCAAGCAGAGCAGCACAGTGCCTCTGAGCTGAAGCAGCTAGAATCTGTGGGACAGGGTAAGGCAAAGAGGAAGAAGGGAACTTGGGTGTGGAGGGCCATAGTCCTTGGCTCCGAGCTGAGTTGTGATTGCACAGGGTGAGACTGCATTGGTCTAACAGAGAGTACCACTATGAGGTTGAAAGTGGGACAGGGATGCTAGAAGCTGAGCAGTGCTAAGGGATAGCGGAGGTCCAGCCCAGCCAGAGTGGAGAGACCTCCTCAACACCCTTTCTCTACTCTGAGAATTGAGCTAAAATACCAGAAATACCCTACTTACTCTACATGACCTATAGAGCAGGGTCTACTCAAGATCCACCCAACAAAGCCAAAACCAAGCCCTTACAAGCTCCTCAGTGGAAAGTTTGGATGTCCAGTCCCACAAGATTTATGGAATTGGAAAAAACCTTGAGTGTCCTCATATCTAACCCTACAAAAATTCAAGGTGATTCATGAGTAACTGAACTGCCAACTAGAACAAAAATCCAATCGTAAGTCTCTACAACATATTATCTGCAGTACCCAGTAGACAATTAAAGGTTACTAGATATAAAAAGAGACAGGGAGCCCTGGCCAGGTGGCTCAGTTGGTTGGAGCATCATCCTGTACACCAAAAAGGTTGGGGGTTCAATTCCCCACCAGTGCACATACCTAGCTTGCAGATTCAATCCCCAGATGACACGTGTACAAGAGGCAACTGATCAATGTTTCTCTCTCACATTGAGGTCTCTCTCTCTCTCTCTCTCTCTCTCTCCCCTCTCTTTCTCTAATGAAAACATATCCTCGGGTAAGAATTTAAAAAGAAAGATACAGGGAAATGTGACTCACAGTTAACAATCAATAGAAACCTACCTCAAAATGGCCAAGATGTTGAATTTAGCAGACAGACCATTTAAAGCAGATATTATAGGGTTGGCAAAAGTAGGTTTACAGTTGTTCATATGGAAAATAATACAATAATTAATAAAGAATAATACAAGAATAAACTGTGTTTCACATACTCACAACTAACTATAAACCCACTTTTGCCTCACCCTGTATAGATATGCTCAAAGAAGCAAAGAAAAATATGGTATTAATGAGGGAACAGTTAAGGAATCTCAGGAGAGAAATTGAAACTATAAAAAAGAACCAAATAGAAATTCTAAAACCAAATAGCACAATATTTGGAATGCAATATTCATTGAACAGGCTTAATAGCAGTTTGAAGATGGCTGAGGAAAGGGTCAGTGAACGTGAAGACAGAACTGTTTATCAGATTTGAGAAACAGGGAAAAAAAAGAGAAAAAATGAACAAAGCCTCAAACACCTATGGGACTATATCAAATGGTCTAACATACATATAATTAGGATCCCAAAAGGAGAAGATGGAGAGGATAAAGCAACATATAAATAGTTCCCCACTGTGATGAAACATTGATGTACAGATCCAAGAATCTCAGCAAACCCTGAGCAAGATAAGACAAAAAAAAAATACCTAAAAACACACCTTATCAAACTTCTGAAAACCAAAAATTAAAAGAGTATTTTGAAAGCAGCCAGAGGAAAAATGACACATTACAGCAGGAGAATAACAATGCAAATAATGGGTGACTTTTCATCAGAAACAATGGCGGCCAGACTACAGAAGAGAAACATACTTAGAGTATTCTAATGTTCAAAAGAAAAAAGAAACTGTTACCCCAGAACTCTATACCCAGTGAAAATATCTTTCAAACATAATGATGAAATTGACATTTTTAGCTAAATAAAAGCTGATATAAAACTAATCTATACAGTAAGTCCTCACTTAACATGGTCGTCAATAGGTTCTGTGACTTTAAGTGAAACAACATATAATGAAAACAATTTTACCATAGGCTAATTGATATACATATATAAAAGTTAAGTTCCTATAATACTGGGTTTGGCAATAATTTCTTGGATATGACATCAAAATAACAGGCAACAAAATAAAAAGATAGATAAATTGTGCTTCGTCAAAATTTAAAACTTTTGTACATCAAAGGATTCTATTGAGAGAGTAAACAAGAAAACTCACAGAATAGGAGAAAATATTTGAAAATCATATAGCTGATAAAGGATTAATATCCTGAATAGGTTAAAAAATTCCTATAATTCAACAACAATAAAACACAATTTTTAAAATGAGCAAAGGGCTTGAGTAGGCATTTCTCCAAAGAATATCTATAAATGGCAAATAAGAACATGAAAAGATGTTCAAATCCATTAGTAATTAGAGAAATGCAAATCAAAAGTGCAGTGAAACACTACTTCACATCCATTGGGATGGCTATAACTAAAAAAAAAAAAAAAAAAAAAAAAAAAAAGACAAGAAATGTTGGTAAGGATTTGGAACCTTCATGCATTGCTGGTGGGAATATAAAAGACATAGCTGCTTTGGAAAATAGTTTGGCAGTTCCTCAAAAAGGTAAACATAGAGTTATCATATAATCCAGCAATTCCACACTCCTACCCAAAAGAATTAAAAGCAACGATTCAAACAAGAACGTATACACCAAGTAAAATCTCAGACATCTCACGTAGCAGTATTTTCACCGATACATCACCTTAGGGCAAGGGAAACAAAGGAAAAAAATAAACAAATGGGACTACATCAAACTAAAAAGCTTCTGCACAACAAAAGAAACCATCAACAAACTGAAAGGGGAACCTACTATATGAGAGAACATATTCGAAATGATACATCTGATAAAGGGTTAATTTCCAAAATATACAAAGAACTCATACAACTCAACACCAGAAAGACAAACAATCCAATTAAACAATGGGCAAAGGACTTGAAAGATATTTCTTCAAAGAGGATGTACAGATGGCCTATAGACATATGAAAAAATGCTCAACATCACTAATCATCAGCGAGATGCAAATTAAAATTACAATGAGGTATCAGCTCACACCTGTCAGAATGGCTGCCATCAATAAATCAACAAATGACAAGTGCTGGCAAGGATTTAGAGAAAAGGGAACCCTAGTACATTGCTGGTGGGAATATAGACTAGGGCAGCCACTGTGGAAAACAGAATGAAGGTTCCTCAAAAAATTAAAAATGAAACTGCTGTTTGACCCAGGGATCACACTTCTGGGAATATTAGTATATCCTAAGAATCTCAATTCATCAACCAGGAAGACTATATGCACCCCTCTGTTCATGGCAACATTATTTACAATAGCTAAGATCTGGAAACAGCCCAAGTGCCCATCAGTAGATGAGTGGATAAAAAAGCTGTGGTACAACCCAGCCGGCATGGCTCAGTGGCGCATAACCCACAGGACACAGACAATAGCATGGGGAAGGCCTGGGGTGGGGCAGGTTTGGGTGGAGGGGAGCAAAAAAGGAAAAAATGGGAGACATCTATAATACTGTCGATAATAATAATAAAATAAATAAATAAATAAAAACTAAAAATGTATGCACCACTATTCATAGCATTATTCACAATAGCCAAAAAGGTTGAAACAATCCTAATGTCCACCAACAAATAAATGGACAAATAAAATATGGTATACCATATACATACAATGGAGTATTATTCAGTCAATTATATAAGGTACCTAGAATAGGCCAATTCACTGAAACAGAAGTAGAAAAGAGGTTACCAAGGATGAGAAAGGAGTGTACATGGGGAGTAATTGCTTAATGGGTACAGAGCTGCTATTTGGGATAATAAAAAAGTTCTGGAAATATATATAGTGGTGATGGTTGCACAACATTGTAGATATTTTTATTAGCAC